AAAAAACTTTTCTCAAATCAAGAAGCACACTGAAAGGTACAATAAGAATTCCATGCCAAAATGAAAACTTTTCATAAAAAGGTCTGAATATTTAATAATATTAAATTTGAATTTAATTTTATTAAATTTATGAAACTTTAGACATGTCATTTAGTAATGGAAAAGGATCAAAATTCTTCCTTCTTTTGCATGATATTCTACATACATGCGATATCAGATTCAATGTGACAGACCCAAATGAATAATATAACACATTAATAACATAATATGGGATTATTAAATCAGTGAGTCATATTATATTTCGAAAAGAAGTAAATGATGGAAGTTTAATGGCAGACTTTTATTTTTTTTAATAAATCGGCTTAATGCGTTGGATGGAAATTATTTAATCTCATTGGATGCGATGGAAAATGTTGAAGTTGAGTGAGTGAGCTTTTGAATGAAGAAGATTAATCTCAAAGTTTTAAGTCTTTGAGTATGAAATTTACATGCTTAATTGAATTTTTTAATTTTAATTGGGATGCTCCAGATGGTTTTAAGCTGGAAAGTCTCAAACGTTTCATAAAATTGCATCTTATCACCAACACGTCGTTAAATTTCCTCCAGTTCATCTCAAACCTCCATAGTTCATCATCCTATTCTCACCATTCAGGTATTACCTCCCAGACATCATTTGACATCCAAAAGCACATAATATTTCTATTGACTCATAATAAAAAGAGCCAATCTCATAAAAATCCCTCCACTAATCCCCATACTAGCTTGATTTCAATCAACTTTCGCTTTATTTGCTTTTCATCCACTCCACAGCATATTGACACCCTCTGAGTACTATTTCTAATTAGTTCATTCATCAATCGCTAGAATTAATACAGCTGTCTCATGAATATTTATTCAGAACTTGCAGATGAATTGCATCAAATGACGAAACTTCGTACAGATGCTTAGATTAAAAATTGACATCAGTGTATGTAGGTCATGCACGTCATGCTGCTACAACATTGTTTTAATTTTCATTATACCTCGTTCTAATTTCCATTTCACAACAGAGGATGAGAAGCGATTAGGGTAAAGGTCATTTTAATTTTCATAGACAATCGACAGAGATGAACAGAACTAAATGTTGATTATAATTGAATATGAAGACAAAACAAACACATCTCGAGCATAAGGAAGAAGACAATCAATTTATTATTTGGAACTTGTTGCTAAAAATTCTTATTTTCCTTCCTTAGCATCCAATTGTATCGTTTACATAGCATATCCATCAAGAATAAGAAGACCTTTAATGCGTAAGACAGACGGCACTTTAAGTGTATGATTTGGTGCCAATATGTCGACATAAACGGTATGATGTAAAATTTTACGTCCATTACTTTATTATTCACTCTCCCCACTGTCGGATGAGTCAATGGTACATGTCTGTCTGGAGAATGATAAAAATCTCTGTTTGCGAACTGCCTTTTTTTTGTGCGAATTTTACAGTGTTACTAACTGTGGATGTTTGAATGAGTCAGATGATATTTTATGATTATGTGACGCAATGTAGTGTGGGATATGCAATGGATTTTATGAAAAATACTGGATTTTGTAGATTTGTGGTAGGGTATAGAAAAATGTACTATAGGTTGCTCAGGGATATTGAGGGTACGGTGCTCTTGGGGCGGTATACCCCAGATCATATTTAATATATTCTGACAATGAGCTTTGTCTTATCTAAAACTCGTATATGCCTGAAAAACACAAATCAAGTCACATAACAGCTTACAGCTCAGCATATGGACAATTCTTCAACATCTGCAATGTAAAGTTATTGTAAAACTGAAAAATTTCAGCCACAGTAATAATTTTAAGTCATATCTATGTGCTTTCCAAACGACATTGACCTTCAGCATTGAATTACATTTTGTCAGAGCATAGATCATTCACTCTCACAGGGATGTGATTGTTGAATTGGAACATGAAATTGTACATGTAAATGCTAGAGATGAAAAATTGTGGGAAATACATTTGTTGAGGCTTGAAATTGTTGTCATAATCTTCCCAAACGACTTTTTCGTGACGGTCTTTAATTCTACCGTCGTTCGAATACACCAATAAATTTATAGACTAAATATGTGTGTGTATATATCCATTAGATTATGTACATTAAAGTAAAAATACTAGGAAAAAATGATTTATTAAAAGACTTATTACTTTTTATGGTCTGTAATATCGTAAAGTGCTTCTTTTCACAGACTTTTCAGAAAATATTACGCCTCTTACCGGTGAGAAAATGAAGAGAGAACGTTCTTAAAAAAAGTTTCATAAAACTTCATGTCACGAATGTATTAAGAACTTTTCTTTTATGTTGAGCTGAGGCTAAATTCTCGTGGGAATTTATCACCACAGAATTTAAATTGAAAATTCATCATAATTTTTCTTTCACTTATTTTAACTTAAATAATGTTATTTTATTGCGTAAGAACAATTACGAATTGAGATATATGCAGCATTTTGTACAATACACAAATCTAATTCCCTCCTTTGTTTTCTCTCTCTCGCTCTGTGTCTGTTGGGGGTTGTTTGGATATGATGTCCAATTTTGCACTCAAAAGGGGTCTGAGTAACTTCTTCGTATATGAAAATTCAATAATAGAGTCCTAGACATCATTTATAAACAACCCCATATATATGCCGAGTAGAAAAACAATAAGAACAATTTTATTCTCAGTCGTGTGTATTTAAATATTTTATTATGCCATAAAAATGTCGTTTCTTATTTGTACAAATAAGAAAATAATTTTGTAGCTTTTGATAAACATTGATGAGTTTAAGTTTATTTAAATGTGATATGGAATTCCTTTTAAATTGAAATTTGAAGAATTTATGCAGACAATTATGGTTCTTGTTTTTAGCATTTTTATGATGGAAATTTTTTTATGAAGGCAATCATTAGATTCTTCAAGTTTTCCATAAGTTGAATAATTTTTTCATGATAATGGTGGAGTGAATGGACTGAATTAGAATACTGGATGTTTTATGAGCGATTCATGACTCAGAGGTTTGGCTTGTAAGGCGTTGCTCTGAGGGGTTGTTCATAAATTATGTCTTTTTAAGAATTTCAGTGCTTTCCTCCCTCCAATTTATCGTAAATATTTCAATCAGACTACCGCCATTCCATTTTCGAATACTTCGAAATTACTTCGAAATTAATATCGAAGTTTTTGAAATAGTTCAAATATTTTTATTCCGTTATGCATAATGTAAACAAATAAATTCCTTGAGACATTTTAAACAATAAAATCACTTAAAAAAGTAATTAATAAATACAAAAATGAACAAGTGCGCAGTCTTTAATTGTGAAAACAAACGAAAGGATGGAAAAGCATCATTTCGAATGCCTTTAAAACCTTCTCCAATATTTCTTTCATTTTGCTACAAAATTGAGTTTATTTATAGACAATGTGATTCAGTTGATAGAAACCACTCCGCATCCCAAATTAAATCATCCTTTAAAGCAGCAGTGAAAGAAATTCCAACTAGTTTTAATCACTGCATTTTGATATTTGAAGACTTTTTAAAGGATTTTTTAAATTTTAGATTGAAATTGTCTCATCAGAAACGTTTTTAAAATCGAAAGGAGCTGTTTGCATCAAAGTTTAAATAAACAATCTGATTTGGTTTTCCATGATTTTAGCTGTAATTTTGTTTTTGAATTCAAACGGTAATTTTTTTTTTAAATCATACCAACTTTTTTTTGTTTATTTTTCAAAAAATAACGGTCTTTTTCGGAATGGCGGTAGTCTGATTTCAATATTAAATAGCATGTCACCCTAATCATTAGTTACTTCTAATTTTCCCATAATTTATGACTCACTTTTAATTTTCCAACTCCAAATGAACTCAAATAACCTCAAAATTATTCATAAAAATTCCCCTAAATCAAACTTACAAATCTTTTCCTTTGAATTCAACTATCTAAGACACATAAATGAATAATGTATTGATGAATGTAAATCATACACTCCACAAAACATTAAACAAAGAATGTATACATTCCACTAACTTCATTAAAGCAGTCAAATTTACATGCAATATGTAAATCGCTTAATTGTAAGTTCCTTGAAACACGCAATTAATAGAAAAAGAAAAGTTTTTATGAAGTTCTAAGGTAGTTTGGTGAAAAGAAGTTGAAGAGAATAGGGAAAAGTTTTTATCATATTCTGTTAAGGTGCTGTCTGAAATTGTGTATAAATCAAGAGGGAACAAACAGAAGGTGGGAAGAGTGGGTCTTGTGTACAATCATTATCAAACTGCATAATTTTAGTAAGTTTTAGTACTGAAGTTTCTTGAATATTAGTTTTGTTAAGTATTAAGGCAGTCGTACGCTTTAAAGTGCTTTAAAGTGTAAAGTGAATTTTTAACGAATTTTCAAAGTTCAAAATTTAACTGTTTTTGTGAAATTCAAAATATGACGGAATTCTGAAAAATTTGAATTTTAACGGAATTTCAAAAAAAAATTTTTGGTTAAAAAAACATTTTAAGGCAATTCCATATAAATTCTGCATCTAATTTACAAGAGTCCCAAGCTAGTAAACTAGTAAAATACATAAATGATGCGTCCCTTAAAGGCAATCAACATAAAGTACTGATCTCTTAAATTTGTCAACTCATTCTCAAAGTACCTGTGCCTGTTATCAATAAATTCGATCAACTTTTCTCTTTCTATAGAAAGTAGAAACCTTTTGCATAAGCACAAAATATCATGTCCCATAAAAAGCAATTTTTCTCATCCTAATAATTTTCTCGTGCTGATCATACAACAGCACATGTAAGTCACGTAATCCAATGAATTACAGTATTTCATTATCATACATTTTCTCTGTGTCTTGTTATTGTTGTTTCTGCTTATCATCCCTTGTCTTTCATACACGAACGATGATTCTCCTGCTGATTATCTCATGTTATTGCTTTTAATCTCATTTCTTATCAATTCTTAATTCTCAACTTCTTAATAGCTACTCACATCGAAGAGCTTTTCGGATTCATTGAATTGTTGTTGAAAAAATTGTTTGATCTCATGGAGTTGAGTTACGGTGAAGATTTATGGAATTGTGAGGAGAAATTTACGATTGGATACGAGGAACTAATTGTAATTGTTACATTGGCTATTTAGGTTAAGGTATAATTGTGAGAATTTAGATTTTGGGATGAGAATAGGTGATTTATATTGTTTTTAAAAATTGCTACATAACCTAGTTCAATGGAACAGGAGACGTAGAGTGGAAAATTTGCAGCTGTCTACGACTGTTTTCCTTAGGATTGTGAGTAACTTTAAGAATTGGAATTGATTAGTAACATTGAAGCTAGAGCATGAGTAAACACCACCTTTATCCCTTGAAAAGTTTCTAGCTTCATCCCTGGTAAACAGCCATCAGCTTTGATGTTAAGCAGCATCTTGTAAAAGATTGTAAAAGTATTTGTATGTCATCATAGCTTTTAAAATTATAAACTGCATATTCTTGACATTTATGCCAAGCATCAGTTGTATATGCAAGCACATAGTCACGATTATCTACACTAGCTACTTTTTGCCAAAAAAGAATTATGTAGTGTAACCGTCTGTTGATGTTGATAAGAGAATTAAGGATTTGTCAAATCTAGATGTTATTTTATCAGGTCTATGATGTTTTAATGCTTCTGGAAGTTGAGAGAAGCAAACAGAAAGAATTGTAAACTGATTGATAGATTGGCCTCTGGTAGAAATCGAGCCCATGTCCTTAAAAACAGGCTTTAATTTATTTGGTCTGTTGTCAAACAACTCGGTCACAGAGGCCTTACTATCTTACAATCTATCCTTCCTTGGCAGACTTGTCTACATAAAGCTTCAAACCCCAGATTAAACACCGCTTTTAAGAGAAACAATCAGCAGCTGCTTAAGCTCTCATCCTCAACTCTGCAAATTAATCTAATTGACTACAAAAACAGAAGCGTTTCAATGTTTTAATACACCAAAATCCCCTTCCATAAATTCCATAACTGCAATAAAGTTGTAGGAAGAAGCAGCAAGGGTTACCTTTTATCTTCATCGCTGTGTATTTTTTCCTCTGTTTTATTTTTCTTTCCCGATAAATTGTTAATTCCCATAAGCACATAACTTCTCAAATTGGCATTTTTTTTATTGATAGAAAATATTTATTTTTTTCTATTCCTCAATATCAATGCGAAATGAAGAGTGATAAGGCAAGCATCGTCAATTTACTTTATTAGTTTATCATTTTGTAACGAAAACTTTTTTTTGCTCATCTTAAATGCTCGGAAAAAAGAAGAAGAATCTATCGACGAAGATGAGAGTTGAAAACTTTTTATTGTTATCCTTGTTCTGCTTTATTTTATTCTTCAAAAAATAGAAATAAAAGGAATAAGGGATTGTTCATAAGTGACGTATGACACAAAAAAGAGTTTTAAACCCTTTCGACTTTCTGAGTTTAAAGTTCTTCGCCTGTATGAAGCATATTTAAAACCATCGTCAAATATTAGACATTCTTTACGAACGACCCCAAAGAGAAATTTCCGGTTCTCAGGATTTGAACGTCCAATATTATGAGCACGTGCCTGCAATAAAGAACAAAAAAAACGAGTTTCGATTGTATCTTTGGATGTTATTTTCATGTTATTCTTGCGTGGATGCTAAAGTTCTCAAACTATTTAATTTGTCTGGCTTGAGTGTACAGTGTGAGTCAGTTGCATACATGCGGAAGTTTGCAGACTTGCTTTTAAATTTTTTAATGCAATCATGAAACCTTTTTCTTTATTTGTTTAAGCAGTCGTAGCTCGACATTCTCTTTATGCTTGCCATTTCTCATGTATTGCACATTTCCTTTTATATCTTCCTTTTGAGTCGTGGAACATTTTAATGATGATGATGTTCACACTAAATTTAAATATAAAATACAAATTTCAGACAGTCGTAAAGAGAGAAAAAGGGTAAAGAGATGAAAAGTTTCGTCCTTTTTGCCTCACTTCTAGCGACGCTGATAACAGAAACGAATTTTCTTTATGATAACACGTAAAAATGGCACAGCAACTTTAATACATTTCATGCTGTTAAGGACAAATAAGTTTAATAAATTTATTGCATGCTTCTTCCTCTGAAAATTGAACTTTACCATTAGCTGGTTTTGTATTTTGGGGTGCATCTAAGAGATTTCAGGAGGGGTTGGGGTTCAAAGCTTCAGTCTCCTTATTTTTACATCCAAAAAAATGAAACTCCAAATCCCTTAAATCTAAAATTTCTAACTCCATCCCTGTGTATCCCGCACCATCCATGGATTCCTTCATAGTCTCACAAAGTAATTTATTTATTTTAGGCAATACGCGTGTAATATTTTCTTTCTTTTTGTGCCTTTCTTTCTCGTGTTCTGGTTTCATTTTTTTAATAGTAAATTTTTTTCATCTCTACATTATATCACATCCTTAAACCATACCAGAATGAAGATGCTGTGAAATGTTCTTAGCTTTAAGAAATGTTCTTTTAGAAGGATTTTATGATTATTATTATGATCTCTTTAATGAAAGGTATTTGTGGATAATCTATGCGATAAGGAAGGAATTCATTGAAATATTTTGTATGTTTCTATTTTGTGGGAAGAACTCGTGATTAAAAATATTTAAGGTGGAATGTGGTGGATGGAAGTTAGTTGACTTTGTTTTTTTGTAGTGAGAAGTGGAACTAGTTTTAAAATTAATTAAGACATGAGAAAAGGGAGGTTAGTGTGTTTTTATACGAAAATTGTTTAATTCTTCAGGCAGCAAAAAAGCAGCAGTGGCGTAATGGTTAGAGTGTTGGCCAACCAACCCTAACGACCTTGGTTCGATCCCAGGGAATGTCTAGTTGAATATGGGTGCTTTTTCGCTGTTCTAGTCATGGTAGCTCGGTTTGTTTGATTTGAGACGTACAAATTGTGGCCAGGTACTTTGCATTGATATACCCTAGATCTTGCAGTTGTGCAAAGTTACACGAATCAAAATGTCTGTTGAGGACAAAATTTTCTGTATAGACAAAAATTTATCGTACAATTTGGATGTCATCGCATCAACAAAATCACCATTTATAAAATTTTGAACATTTAAGATGAAAAAAGTCTTAAATTGGTAAAAATAAAAAAATTCAACAAAAATTCAAATACCAACTCTAATAAAGATAATTAATCTCCAAAAATAAATGTCCTGATATAGCTTTACAGATATTTCCACTATTTTTAGACACAATAGCATAAAATTGCCGAATAAAAGTTTTTCAAAATGATAGCTGTTCAATAATTCATGGTGAAATTGATAACCATTGTCTATGTCGAATTTACAGTGTCTAAAAAAATTTTTGATATTTTCACGCTGTTAAAAATAAAGTTTTGAATTCTTTTAATAGATGACGATTTTGCTAGAGTAAGAATGAGTGGATAAAGGAATTATTTTTGCATGTATCTGTTGCATATTTAATGTATTTTTTTTTATGTCTCAATGCTTCCGTTCAATGTCAATAAAAATTGACGTTTATCTAAAAATGTATAAAATATTAAATCTGAAATCGATAAAGGAAGATTGACATAAGATGATATTGCACTTCTCGGAGCTAAAAATTGAACTGAATCTAAAAGTTTAATGTTTATTCAATATTCAAGGACAAAGAATAAAACAGCGTTTAACTCTGTTTTATATCATGTTTGAGCAACAAAAATCATTGTTAACAAGATAACACAAAATTTAATGGAATTCCTTTGTTTAAAGTTCTTTTATTCCGCGATAACATGAACCGAAATAAAATATCCCTCAATTGAAATTGATTCACTTTTTCCCACCAGAAAAAGAAGCGTAATAAAAAAATCGATTCTTTAATAAAAATGAAAGAATAATGCTTTATGAAATCATTCACTTAAAGGGGCTTATCTGTAAATGACGTCCATTAAAAATGAATCATTTTGTCATCGAAGTCGGGCTTTTTCAAGAGACACTGGGCTATGGTGTATTCAAGTTGGGCCCCATCACAAAAAAATTGTACGTGAGTGACGCTATGTTATTCTTGATTATATCCTTAACCTTAAAAGTGAAAAACTTAAGAGTTACTTTTTAAAAAAGAGAATCAAAATCCCCATCTTTTGTTGTACAATTCACTTCATGAAAGTTTACATTTACGTAAAAAAATCACTTAAATTAACTCATGTACAATTTTTGGGAATTTTGGATACAAGAAACAAGCTTCATTTAAAAACCCACCCCCACTCTTTTATGATTCTATATATGTTAAGAATTCAGTTTTTGATAAACATCAGGGTTCGGTTTCTTGGGCTACTCGAGGTCCTTATCCACGTTGCATTTAAATTTTATTTATTCGTCATGGTGTGATACTGTGATGCCTTTGATTTCAGATATAGATTTGTTGCATAAAATTCCCAAGACTACGATTTTTGAAAGGAATAGGAATAGTTTGGTAACCTGTGGAATCTTAGAAATCCTTATCATTCTCATTTTTGATGATGTTTTTTCGGCATAATATTTTAAAGTTCCCTAAGATTTTCATCCACACAAAAAAAAATCCTCCCTTTCCTTCTTCTACGAAATAAGTTTCTGATAGACATCATCAATGAACAATTCCCAATAGTGATGAAAAGGCCCGATGAGAGAACATGAAAGATTGATAATATCAAAAAATAAAAATAAATTTTTATCATTTTTGACACATTGAATTATGACATTGAATAGGATGCTTTATTGCTCTATAAATGAGAATTTAGTTCATTTCATTCAGGCATTGTTCTTGAATTTTTTTTATGCAACTATCCACTTACTTAAGTTTTCTTTTTTACGACTTTACATTATCGACACTTAAGGAAAGAAAGTTTTTATTGTTGCAAGTCATTAAACATTTACTTGTAAGGTACCAATCCATTTAATGCATAATAGTCATGATGATGATGATGATGCATTATTGCTGTTGTTGGAGCATAATTTTGCAATTGAAAAGCCATAAAATATATTTTTCTTTCCTCAATTCTTTATGCCTTATTTGTGAAGAAAAATTTCTTTTTAAAGAATGCGGCAAGAATTCAAGTCTTGAATCAACAAATTTAACTTTAACATTATTGAATGTGCGCAAAATCACCAAACATAAGCTCAGAA